GGTCCTAAGATTACTTTCCACGTGAGGTCCCAACACGTCCAGATTTGCCTGGACGCTGCCTTCAAGTATGTTGCAAATAGTTCTCCCTCATGCATTGCGACATCTCGAGAACTCGCCAATGTTCAGGAGCGCAAAAAGCAAACTGTTTCGAGAAGTGATTGTCATTTATTTTAGCAACCCTTCCTGCGATCCCAGTGATGAAAATTCCTCGGAGAACGTTCGTTCTCGATGTTATTATGCCATGACTCGCACTGCAGCGAAAGATCGGTAAGTTTTTCTAATAGTAATATCACACCGTTAATCTTAGTCCTTCCTTTTGTAGAAGTACTTGAACATTTTTATACTTTTTTCCATATATATTTTGAATCGATCTAACGATACAAGTATTTTTCTCTAAACAACTATCTGTCCCAAACTATACTTTTGACAAGAAAATGCCCAATTTGGATCTCCACTTTCAGGCTTTTTGTAAGATATGAGATCAAAGCGTGCGAATACTTAGGCTAAGATCATCATTCAACATCTCAAATCATAGTTCATAACAACATACCGCTTACAGCACTTGCTTGAGTTCGCTTGGTCCTGACAGATACGATGACAGCGATGCATTGAATGATCAGGTTTACAATGCTTTCGAAGCTTTGAATGGCTGCATTGTAAGTTTTGAATTGAAGGCTTTGATAATCGTTGATTTTGTTGAATGACTGTATGTTAGACATGTGGCGTTCATTGCCACAGGCTTTGCGCTGGGCCTCCTTGGTCTACGTACTGTCCAGACGGCGATGGTGCGGAAGAGAAATGGCAGTGCGAAGACTGCAGGTTGGATTTTTTCTAATTGTTTTACATATTTCATGAGTTTGCTGCATTTAGAATTTATCTGTCTCACTGCTGTTTGCAGCTTTTATGCTCCGGCGCGTTATGAAATATGTTGGCCCTCTAATTCAGTATCTCTGTCGCACTGATGATTATATTAGATTGTTCCGAAAGTTCTTCTGTCACTTTCATTTTGAAAATTCGTAACTTCTCCCTAAGTGAATGTGTTGGCATATAAAAAATACTATTAGATAGTAAAATTCATCTAGTTTCTAATAGCTTCTTTGTAGCCTTCAAACGACAGGTGACTCCAAAGATAAAATTGGAAAAGGAAAGCTACTCAGAGTCCCGATTTTCGAAAATAAATCGCCAAAAATCTGAAATGCTGTTGAAAAATTTAGGAGCATGTTTTTAGAGGTTTTATGAGCTGCTCTTTCTAATGGTACCAAGTTTGCGCCAATTGAGCTTTTCTATGAAAAATTATGATTTTCGTGATGCAAAAAACGGCGAAATTGACGTACTTCACTACTTTTTGCATTTTTCACGAAATCATTTTCCGTA